AAACAGTAGAGAGCTCGTTGGACTGCCAGACAGTATCTGTAAACAAAGCGCAGGGTGAGCAATGGAAGCATCTTTCTCTCATTAAGGAGTTTTCTGTGAGTAGCACAAATGCTATTTGGGAGCTGGGCTCCTGCCGACGTGTGCTGCCTGGTGCCTGCTCAAGAGCCCATCTGTTGTTGACAAAGATATATTAATAGGACACTATCAAAATGGGGAGGCCTGACAATGTCCCTCCCTGACAGGGGGCAGTACGTCGGAGACAGGCCTTAGCTTTACATCAAGCTAAACTAATGGCTTTGCTGTGTAAACATTGTTTGGTGCCCAGCAGCCTCCCGCCCCATGCTGTTCTGCTGGAGTTTGGGTCACTGGGGACATTCAGGCTGATACTGTTAAAGCTGCGTAGGGGGCCATGACATTCTGTTCCCATTACTTTCCCATCTATACCGTAATGTGGTTCTGTTTAATTTTTGATCTTCTGATCTTGTACATGGAGCAAATCAGGGGATCTAGCCAGATGGGACTGCAACCAGAGACAATGTGTTTGTATGAGAGAGGGGAGGAGCTTCTGTTTAGGTCTCAAAGCACTAGGTTGGGTCTCATCACTGAGACAGGAGAGAAGAAATGGCCAAAATCTTGTCCCCTGTTCTTGGGAGATTTAACACCTATAACATACCAAGCCCAGTGATTTCTCTGTTCTCCCGCTCAATTTGCCAGGGATTTTCATTCTTCATTACGTGCATGGTGTGTGACTGAATCCAGACCCTGAGCAAAATTCTCCACATTGTGGGTTGAAATACAGTGTGTGTGTGGGGGGGGGGGATTTCCTGAGGCACAAAGATTATAAGATGCTGAAACATGCAAATATCTAATTCTGGGGCACCTGGACCCTTCCTGCTAAATGGAGAATTGGGGATACTGGGTGAGTGACTTTTAAGTTACCGGACAAAGTTTTCATTCACTTGAAATGCTCCTTAATTCTTATCCAGACAGATGAGCAAGCCAGGCTGTATGCAGAGCATCCTCGGGGACTCTGAAGGATTTGTCCTCAGGGAAGTGCACCGAGGGAATGAATTTAAGGATAATTCTTTGTAGAATTTTGAATATCAGCACCCTCTCTGACTCCCTCCCTTCTTACTTCTAACTCCTTCTGGTCCCATACCTCTTCACTCATTCCTAGCTGAGCAGATCTTTTGCCACCCCTCACTGGTATCTTGACCCAGCCTCAGTTGTTATGCTGTCCCATGGCCACCTTGTCACAGCCCCCTCCATAGCATAGCTGTGGAACCCTCCCAAGAAGTGCTCTCTTCCTCACCCCCAGCCCCCACGACTGCTTTGGGAACTGGGCAACTTGTTCAAAGTAGGGGGAGAGTGGTCTGCAAAAGTAGAAGTGGGAATGAGGGAAAGAATTTAATAGGAGGGCAAAAAGAAAGTGGGATTGTCTGCCTTGTCTCCACCTTTAGAAGCAAGTCTGTCACTCCATGGGGTACAGCACTAGCTCATCAGGAAGGGAGGATGACAGAGACTCCCTTCTGAACTGAGCCTTTGAAATGTCTAAAACAATGGTTCCCAACCTTTTTTATACGGCGAATCAGCAAACTCATTCAAAAACCGTTGTTGAATATCAGCACATATTTGCATATTCATTATGGTAATTAATTTATTTGCACACTTTCATATTCATTATGGTGATTTTAGCCTGTGGTATATCAAGCAAATCAAAGGAGGGGGGACATGATGGTTAACTAGAATTTGAAAAACTGCTGTGCACACACATTTAAAAAACCCCATAAAATAGTTGCTAATACTTGTTTAAAGGGTATTCTCCCGTCCAAACACTTTGCCTCAATTGCACCAGACTTAGAGGCAGTGCTAACACATTCTGCACATTCATATTTTCTTAAGCACTTAATAATGCATAACAATAATAATGTGTGCACCTGCTGGCTTGGGAGCAAGAGGAGGCTCCCACCGAGTGGGGAGGGAGGAAAACAGGGTTGCAGGAGCAGCCACCCTTCACCCAGTCATTGGCCCCGCTGGCTGGGGCATTCACTTTGCATGTGGCGCTTGGCCCTGCTGGCTGGGGCAGTTGCCCTTTATCCGGCACTGGGCCTTACCAGCAGGGCCACGTAGCAATCGCCAGAGCTGGAACTGGGGCCCTGGTGAGGCTGCCACAGTAGGGTTAGCCTCACTGGGGTCCGGGCTCTAGCTGCACCACACTCAGCTACCAGCCGCCCCACTCACCCACCTTGTTGCTGCATGTGGAAGTGCGCAGGAAGGGAATTCCCTGGGAACCCCAGGAGGCAGAACTAAATGAAAGCTGGGGGCGTGGGCTGGCAATGTGGCAATCACTAGTCTAAAACATACTTGTAATTTGAGCCTCTGGATATTAACTATGGATTGCAATATTGTGAGGCTGGGTTTAGGGTTGAGGCACTGGGCTGATTCTCAGAGGATCTGGGATTGGTTCTGACTCTCCCATAGACTCCCTGTGTAAACTGGGGCAAGTGACTTCATCTCTGTGTGCCTCAGTTTTCCCTCTGTAAAATGGAGACAGGCAAAGGGGTGGGGAGAGAAAGTACTCTTTTGTTTGTTCAGATAGTACACCCTACGGGGCAGGGACTCTCTCTTATCAGGGGCACGTCTTCACTGCAGAGTTAGCCTGGGCTCTGTCTTGTGTATAGGGTTGCCAGGTGTCCGGTATTTTCGCCTCCTGTCTGGTAAAAAACTCAGAAAATACCGGACATCTAAAATTTTCTGTTTTTTTTCCCGGCGAAAATACCAGGTGCTTACCTGATTCTGCAGGGGAGCTGTCTGGCCTGGAGCAGGAAGACAAGATGGCAGCCTGTTAGGGCCAAAAAAAGCTCAAAAGCATTCCTTAACGGGGCCATGCTGGGTTTTTTTTTTAGCTTAACAACTCTTGGGGTTCTCTTTTTTTCTCTTGCTCAACAACTTTGGTCTTCCCCCTTTTTTTTTTTTCCCTCTACAGAATTTTTTTCCCAGTGTTTTTTTTTTGGGGGAGGAGGGATGGGAGGAGGAGGGTGTTTGGTATTTTTGGTTAAACCATCTGGCAACCCTACTTGTGTGTCTGCTCCATCCCATCCATCCCATCCCCACACACATGCTTCTGACCACAGGATTGCATGAAAGTTTCCTTGAGATCTCTGTGGAGGATTTAGGAGGCATCCCAGTGTAAATATACCGCTCCATTTGGCCCCCTCTACCTAACTCTAGGGGGGAATGAAAAGCAGATGCAACCAAGAGAAGTAGAGTTTCTTGCTATCTTTACCTGTTCTAGCACAAGTTAAAAAAGAGTAAATTAACAGATGTGTTTTGCTACTTTGGGGGTTCCATCCCTGTAATTTCAAAGCAAACTGCACTACAGTAATCAGAGATTCCTTCCCCTGCATCAGGCTCCTGTTGACCGTTGGGACTGGCTGACCTGCGAGGGAATAAAAAACATGCTGGCTCACTGCACAGTCCTCTCTCCCCTATACTGCTCCACCCTCACCCCCCTGCTCTGATAGGGTTGAAGGACTTTTCTGTTCTGGAGTCTGGGGGAGGAGGTATTTGGGAATGAGTCAAGTTTGGTAAGAACTAGCACTTGGATACCACAGTGATGGGTGTTGTATGGAAACCCGAACAGAAAGGAGGTCCATTAAAAGTCTGCATAATTATTTGTGTATATGGTACATCAGGCTGCTTTCGACACCTGTTCTGCTTGACTCCTGGGGGAAGTGCACAATCTAAAATAACAGTGTTAGAAACGTTCATTGCAGATTTGGTCTTGGGTTTTCTAAGCAGGTTTCCCTAGAATTAAAATCCAAATCCTTTGGAGAGACTTCTGTTGGTTGGGACTTCCATTCTGGTAAGCAAGATACTGTCCCTTTAGTCTCCTTTAGCTATGAGCCAAGTAGCTTTCTCCCAGCAGAGAACAACTAACTTGGTCCTACTGTAGTAAACTGTGATTTCCTCACTGTTACTGACTGGATTATAAGCCCAATTTGGCTCCTGTTAATTTGGGAAACATTGGGGCCCAGCATGTAATTAATGGCACTTTCCTCCCAGACCTGGAGCTGAAGATGATGTGCTGTAATTAGGAACACACACAGGCTGTGAGAGTGATTAGGGCATGAAGTTAATGAACCGTAAGTCCCGGTGGCTACTGAGGAATTTGAGCATGGTGACTTCAGAATTAGCTAGCAAAGGAAGGGCAGACATGTTCCAGAGGACAGAACAGCTCAGAGGGATCGGGGAGGGGATCCATATAAATATAACCATGAAACAGAATAATAAAGCAGTACAATAAAATTAAACTAATTAAACAACTCCCAAGAGATCACACAGCCATATTGTCTTCTGCCTCATGCTTCCCTTCTCCCCACTCCCTCCCTGTGCAATGAGCACCATATGGGGATCTGGGCATGGGATTGTAAAATTCTTCTGAGAAGGAATTCTGGGCCATTTCTGCTCTCACTGATATCAAAGTAATTCAGGAATAACCCCTTTGAGATTAATAGAGTGATGAGTATCAGCTCATGGCTTTTTTTCCTCTCTCGCCTAGATCATATTAGAGATCCATGGTAATCATAATACAGTGACTCTCATTTTTAGGGCACTGGGTCCACTCTTGCTCAGAGCAGTAGCAACCCAAAGATGTGACCTTTGTGAAATGATTCAGTCTGGTCGTCATCTTCAAGTGCTGTCCCTGTGGGAGCTCCACTTTAGGTGTCTGAGCAGCCCTGTGCTCATAGTTATCTTCCTCTTCACTCCTGTCTGAGCAGTTCACCTGCCCTTAGGAGTTGACTGAAGGAAGAGGAGGGTATGTATTGAAACTGGGATTTAATGAAGTGGGGGGAAAGGAAGCCTTCTTCAACTTTCTGTGTCGGGGTGGGACAGGTTGCATTACCACTAATTAAATTACAACTGTATAGAGAAAGCAACATGGGCCTGTTGCACTAGGAACCTTGCATCTATGTTCCCTCCTTTCCATGTCTCTCCAGCTGTGTGCAACCCTCCATGCCAGAACAAGGGATCCTGCAGCCGACCCCAACTCTGCATCTGCCGCTCGGGTTTCCAGGGAGTCCAATGTGAAGAGATCGTTCCTGAGCAAGCGTACCATCCTCCTGGCTCTGCAGCAGCGCTCCAACCCCCAGCAAGCTCCCTTCCGAAGAGGGCTGGCAGTATAGAGAGAGAAGGCTCACCCAGAGGGGCTGAGACACCTGTCCCACAGCAATCACCGGCTGCGTAAGTCACTCCAGTTACCAACAAGAACCGGATTCCCTTGATAAGTGACAGTTAACTTCAGGATCTGTGCTATGCTGGTCCAGGCACCATTCCTATTCCAGGATCCAAGCTCTCATTCCCTGGGCTCATTCACTGTTCTAGTGCTCAGTTTTTCTATGCAGAAGACTTAGCTTCCATTTCAGGTTATAGGCTCTTTCCTGGGGCTATTAAAGCTGTAGAATACTGGTGCAGGAGTGATTGCCCTGAATCCAGAACTAGGTTTGTCCCCATCACTGTCTGCTGGTCCCTGGGAACAAGTGAGACTATGAGGGAAGAGCTTGTGGTGGAGTATTCACCCCCACACTAGCCTTGGGAAGGGTTAATGAGGATGAGAAGGAGCCAGATAAGCAGATAGGCCATGCCTGAGAGGAGCTATGTGTCCTAAGTACCCATAGATTGATGAAGGATTCCAGTAAGAAGGAACAGACAGGTATAAAGCAAGGAAATTAGCAGCAGAAAAGGGCTGCAGTGAGGGAGTATCCAATCACTCTCTGGTTAGGAGGGAAGGAAGGAACCCAAGAATCCAGGAAGAGAAGAGAAACCTCAGGGGACTGAGATTCTGAAGAAGGGGTTTATCCAGAAGGGTGGTGGAATGAAACCCTAAAAGAGGTGGAGTAGAAAAAGGCTCAGGGAAGTGGTAACAAACTGTATGTTGCAGATGTTGGTTGCTGATTAGAAAGTCCCTGAGCTGGGACCTGTGTCTGGGATCCCCTACCAACCACTGGGGAAGTGACACAGTCAGGACAGGATTTTGCAGTCTGCCTGGGACATTTCATCCTTTGGGACTTTGATGGACAGTGACCTGGCCAAAGGGCCAAGCCATAAAGAGTGAACACCCCGAGTCAGAGAGAGAAAGGTGACAGGGTGAACGAGCAAGCGACAGAAGGGGATGTCAGACCTAGAAGGAGCTAATCCCCAGAGCAGCCAGGAGGAGGCACCCTAGCGGTCAACATATCCCATGACATAACCTCCCCACGGTCTAATAGTTTTGCCTTTTGTTCAGTTCAGTAGCAGCCTTAGTGGTGTTGCCTGGGAAGACTGGCAAGTGGGTTTTTGTGGGGGTGTTGCTTAGACCCAGCTAAGAATATTGTCTACAGCTCTGCTATTGTTATATGCAGAGTAGAGCATAGGTACTTGGGGTAGCATAAGAATATACATAGGTGTTTCCAAGGCACCTGTCATCATAGATCCTAGGAGCAAAGGGCGAGTGTAACTGTTATACATTTGTATTACATGACCATATATGGTTCTTATAGCTAGGTAGGTGTGTAGCTATCTGGTGCAGGATTAACTTAAAAAACAACAAATGGTCTGTTAGCACTTTAAAGACTAACAAAACATGTAGATGGTATGAGCTTTCGTGGGCACAGCCCACTTCTTCAGATGACTGGAGTTTTTACAGGATTGTTATGCTTAGGCAACTCTGTAGCTGTGGTGTATTTGATACTGTATTTAAGAGAGACAGATCCCTTTTTAGATTGAGTCCTCAGTGGTAGGAGCTGAAGGTAGTTCTTTGTGTCTTTGTTTCTTGTGTATTAAAAGTAGCTCATTGGCTACCACCCAGCTCCCTCTAAGCCAAGCTGTAATCTATCCCATATATTGTATTGTGTAAGTCCTGTTGTCAGTGTAGGGTCTTCCTCTTGCAAGTGTTAGGGTGATGACACACATCCCAGCTACTGCTGGTAATATTCCAGAAAAGAATCTTTGTTGTTTGGTTCATTTGTGGAGCGGGGTAACTCCTAGAATACTGTAATGGGCAGGTTTTTTGCTGGCTCCATATGGTGCTCTTCTGTAAGTGTTTATGGGTGTCTGAGCAAAGGGGTTGGCTTTGTGCCCAACTCCAGAAGGCATGCCCATCTCCTATCTGTGTCACTCTGAGCCCTCTTTGATCAGAGCTACCTGAGGGACCACTGCTCCCTCAACGAGTGGGATCTTCCATGACAAGAACAGGGGAGCTCTTCACATTGAATAGGACTTGTGAAAGCCACAGGCAAAGGTGGTTGTTGAACTGCCTTCCTAAAGGGATTGGGATGATCAGAACCCTGGTGTCTTTCAGATCTGAATACCAGACACATCTCATGAATTTTTTCTCAGCAGAAAATGCTCCTCCACACCCCCTACCATGGGTACTGGGGCAGAAGGGGGAAGGGAGCGACACATGGCCATGAAACACCTATTAATTTTTTTGTAGGGCACCCAACTCTCCTAGCAATGAACATGATGTCAGACCTTGGATAGGGAGTTAGATAGGATGCAGGACTCTGCTGGCATTTACAGAACATTACTGTGCAGGCAGCCAGACATAGTGTCTAGCAGAGTATGTTTAGGTTTCTGAATGCCCAGCTGCCCTTTGCTGCCGCCAGTTCTCTGGCTGGGTCCCAAGGAAATACAACTCCCTTAGGAGCTGAATCATTACCGTCCTGATTTGTGAGGTGTGAGGGGCAGTTTGTTTCTTTTGAGGCAACAGGATGGCCCCTTTCCCAGCACTTTTAGGAGAACATTTCATTCTTATCACTATTCACTTTCATATATGTGCATTTTGTATAATTGCTATAGCTAGAGATTCACCTTTGATCACCACTTATGGTTTCCTGTAGCTGGTCCTTCAGGGCTTTCTCTAGTCTAATGCTAAATGCCTCCAGGGTGAAGCTCCCACCATTTCCCTTTGAGATTACTCCACCACCTATTGCATTTCCTTGTGAGGCAATATGAAATGGTACTGATAGCCGTGTTCTTACAGGATAGGTACGAGGCTACTGCAGGTTTGTGGTTCTTACATGGGCTGTAGTCTGTACCAGTGTTTGATTCTTTAACCTGGGGTCTTTCACAGATGTCTAGTAAAGGACCAATTGCAGGTGACTGTAAAATTGGTTATGATGACGCAACTTCCTAGGCTAGGTTTATAATCCCAGAGAAGCTGAAGCTAAGACGCCAACTGTTACTTGTTTAGCAAAGCCAAATTCTGCCCGTGGCTCCATATCATAGATACTGCGAGGAGGTTCTGAGATTCCAAACACACTGTCAGCCCCAAAACTTCCAGACAGGGTTATCAGTAATGAGGGGCACTCAAGCAAGCACAGAGATTTGTAAACTTTGAAATCCCATCTCCGCTAGAGCAAATACCAGGATAGGAAACCAAACTTCAGGTTGACGCTCACTGCAGGGTTTCCAGTCTTCTAAGGTGGGTTATTTGTATCTAATATTTGTGTTACCCTAGTGCCTTGGAACCCCAGTCATGGACCAGGGTCCCAGTGTGCTAAGAGCTGTACAGACATAGAACAGAAAGCTGATCCCTTCCCCCATAAAGCTTGTGATCTAAGTAAGAATGTGGCAAGCAGGGGGTTTTGAAGTAGTTTTTGACATGTAGGCAGTGAGCAGCTTCTCATGTAGGGTTGCCAGGTGTCCGATTTTGAACCGGACAGTCCAATATTTGAGCTTTCTGTTCGGGAAACAAATTAAGAAAATATAAATGTCCAGTGTTTTCTAAATAAGATGTAATGTAGATTGTGATGTAATGTCAAGTGTGCCCCGTATTTTTGATGAAACCATCTGGCAACCCTATTCTCATGTTATTCAGAAACTATCTGCACCAAATATGCCCATCCTTACAGGATGGTGGACTGGTTTTAGATCGTTTTCTGACCTCTTCCACAGCTACCTGGTGGGGTTGCTGCTGCGCTAACATGCTAGCTGTTGATGTAGGCCTGTAAGGAAAGTTTTTGGTTTTTTACTGCTGTGGTGCTGCCTTGTTAGCAGTGTCCATGGTGTTCGGTTTGTTGTCTCCTGCTTTTATTTGGTGAATCCTGTCCCACTGCTGAGGCATCCAGGAAGGGCTTTGCAACATAGCTCCACAGAGAGCTCTCAGTTTACAGCATGGATTCCCTCACAGGCCCCAGAAAGTGATTATTAGTTCTGACTGGCTGTGTTGCAGAGTTGAGGAGTGAGTGCCCAGCTATGTCTCTGGGCTGTACTATGGGGAATTCCAGCTCTCATCCTAAAACAACTGGCTGGCGTTGAAATGAGGAGAAAAACCTCACTCACCACAGAACCCATGGAGCTGGCGCACAAAGCTTTTCCCACAGTCTCTGTGCTGGTGCTGCCCGTTTCCTTTGCTGGTGACTTTAGCTTGACCTTGGATGTGCTGGAACTGTTTGCTCTATACTAGTATCCTGGCCTCAGCTACCCTTGCCATGGTGATGGCTCTGTTAGGGTTCCCTTCAGGACAAGCTCCAAACAGCTATAGAGCTTGATAAGGAGCAATGGCTAATTCCCTTTCACCAGGCCCTTTGATGAAAACTAGAGCCCATTTGCTCCCAAAAGTGGGTATAGACTTGTCTGAGATGAATGAATGCTGACTATGGGGATTAGCCTTGGTCTCAGGTTAATGAGCCTTGGAGAATTGTTGGATGAGCCTATGTGGCTGTAGCCCTGACTACCTCCCCCGCCCTCCTCCCAAGCTCATGGAGGCTCCTGTTTTTGTGGTTTTCTCCTGTGACTGATAGCAACAGCTGTCCTGGCAAAGAGCAAGGATGGAGTGGTGTTTTCAGGAAATGGAAACCTGCCCTTCGCCTGCCTGTCCTCATGGTTCATCATCTAGTGTACATGTCCAAGCTGCTGGTCACCTCACATCTCAAGGCCCTAGCATGGGAAACAGGGCAGTGATTTCTGGGGAACAGGCCTGAGGATACATCTCTAATGAGTGCTCCCTGAAAGAGTCTGGAAAACATGACCCCACCAGTTCTGAGAATACATTATGTGCAGGCCTGCTGGTGGGGGTGTGGCATATGCACAGGGGTGCGGCATTTCAAAGGGGACCAGAGCCCCTGGCCACTGCTACTTTGGCAGTGGCAGTGGCCAGAGCCCTGGGCCCCTTTGAACTGCTGTGGGAGAGCTGCTTCACGCAGCTTTGACAGCTGAGGGGTGGGGCCAGTGCTGCAGTCTGGGCATTGTTAAGGGCTGAC